TCTTCAACCTCATCCTACACCCGAGCTACAGATATTTGGCACTATTGCAAACACTGTATAGTTTCCAATTCATTTTTGAAAAGTCAAATCCATAACTTTTAAAATATAATTTAAGCCTTTTTTTCCCATTGTAAATATGTAAACCAGTAATGGTCACGACCTTCTGATTCCAACTTTTGTTTGGATTTTGGGATAGATTCACCTTGATTAAAAAGCATTATTTGACCATAAGTACACCAGTAAAATTTCACTTATTTTGTTGATTATATTTTCAACTCATATCAGCCCAATCAATAACTGTTTTGACAGAATTCAGAACAAACAAATCAAACAAATATTCAAAACAGTTTTAAATGTTCTGCCTGCATCTTCTTTCTGGTTCTATGAGCCCACACAATGAGGATCTATTTGATGACACTACAACATCCCACATCTGGTTACATTACATTAGTATCAGTTTTCAAAGAATGTATGAGATGAAACATGCAGTCACTGAAATTTAATTAGGTCATGATGTCACAAAATCAGTGCAGAGAAAGGCAGAAAGTAAAATGACTTTCCTCTTTAATCAATCTATTTTTTAGAATAATAACTGAGGTTTTAATCTTTTTGCTTTAGATTTTTCTGTTCTTAGATCTTGCTTTGGGTTGAAGTTGTATTGATTGCTCTTAGGTTTAGCTTTAAATGAACTGATACTGTTTCTTATGAGTTGTCATGAAAATGTTACTACAACAACCTAGCATGTATATTTATAAAACAATTAAATTAAGGGTCCAAGCAATATCTGGTCAAAAAAATTAGATGTGATCTTCATTCCACATTTGAGCTATAACCTTTGAAAAAAATTGGAACCATTCATTTGAAATCCTGATAGTTTCAAATCATCAAATCATGATTTATAAATGTAGGTGACACTGTTTATATAAGGAACTTTTTAATTTTATACTTTCTTTGGACCAAAGATGGATGATGTATCTATTTTTTGTATACAACATTATCTTGCCAATATAAGCCACATAAAAATAGCCATGTATAGTTAAAACAATGAAAGGAGTCAGATATGGCTACAAATGTGACTTCTACAACAATGAAAAAGTATGGGTTCCAACTGGCAAATGTGGCTTTCATATGTCAAAGCTCTTTGTTTATAATTATATTAAAATCTGAGGAGGAGCTGGCATAATGCTGCATTCCAGTCCTTCTCTTTGAATGATATTTGGATTCTCTGCTACCATCATCATCATAAGAAAGTAGAGAGAAAACACAGCTAACCTTTACTAGCCAAAGTCCATACCAATGACATAAATTACACCCTTTACATTCTAGCTAGGTACTCTCAAGTCTTTAAATGCTCCAAGCATCATGAATAAATTATTTCTTTCCACTATGGCTCATAGTGCCAGAAGGCAGGAGGAATTTAAACATAACTAAGATCAACATTCTGAGTTTACTTGGCCTCCACATCTAACAGTGCTGCTATAAATTCTTGAACTTTTCATTTGGGAATTTAAGAAGGCCTCATAGACTTGGCAATTTTTTATTTTAAAAAGTGTTCTATTATAAAGATATTAAACTCTGGAATCTTGAGATGGTGCTTTGGTATCATATTCTGTCCCTAGCTTGCTATACCATCCTGCCACTTTGTAGAGAAGACTGCTGCCAAGGAACATAACACTCTAATTCAGCAAATCTCAGTTTTGGTTCCAGATGTGTTTTTTATTTCAGTTCTGAGCAGAATCTGTTTACAGCAATCAACAGAAAATTAGATTAGGACAAGTGTTTAAAGTGTCTTAAATGATAGCTTTGGAGTCCTTGTATTCTCTGAGCTTTGTTATTTGCATGTCTGCTGAGGACTATAAATACAAGATAGCCAAAATAGCTTTCCCAACCTGATGTCCAGTAAATTCATTGAAAGAACAACTCCTCAAATGTTTAGCAGCAGGATATTAACCACTGTTGGGTGGGAATTCTGGAAGTTGGAGTTCTAACCCAACCAGTGGTTGGAAACTTCGGCAGAACCAGTAGCCAATTTTTTGTTGCCCAGAAAGGACTTCTGGAAGCGGCAATCACACAGAGAACTGGTTGTTCACATATATGAATCACCACTGAATCCAACCCAAAAGAATAAAGCAGGGGTCTTCAAATTTGGCTCTTTTATGACTTGTGGACTTCAACTCCCAGAATTTCTCAGCCAGCGTGCCTGGCTGAGGAATTCTGAGATTTGAAGTCCACAAGTCATAAAAGGGCCAAGTTTGAAGACCCCTGGAATAAAGTATTCATTGTTGGTCTTGGCATTTTCATTTCACATTTTACTTCTTTTTTGTGAATTCAGGATCACTCACTTCATGACAGACATGGCAGCCTTTTTACAACTAGAATACTATACTGCACACATACATAAGCAACATAAACATAGACTTAAGGAGATTAACCCTTAAAATAATAATATTAAATCTACTAAACCTACTACTCTTTTTTGATATTGTTATATATGGACACAAAGATTTCCCCCTTCCCAAAAAATCTGGAACTGATCTTTTTTGCATTTAATGAGCAAGTTGGTAGTGTAATTTGCAGAACTCCGGATGCACAGTGTGATGGGCAAACTTCTAAATTGGTCTTTTATTGCTTCTATATCCTTTCTTGTTCTCATTCATTCTCTTATTCTCACCCTCCTTTTTTTCTTAAATTGAATTGCTAACAGTATTCAATGCAACCCACTTCAAGCCAGAACACAATTGTCACGTCATCACTGCAGTAACAGCATTGAGAAATATACATATGTACATGGATATGTCTATCTGTTTTAGGGGATATATGTTGAAGGGATACAATGTTTTTGTAATGGGGGAAAAATTGAAAAATACAGCTGTACTGTATTTGAGGGTACAGCAGTCTATGTCAATACTTCTCAGCCTCAGCAAATTTGTGGATTTTAGTGTGCTGGCTACGGAATTCTGGAAGTTGAAGTTCAGACTTCTTAAAGTTGGCGAGGCTGAAAAATACTGATCTATGCATTGGTGGTTTGTGAGTTGAAGGCCAAAGTTGTTATCCATTCCAGGATCCCAATATGTTACTCTCTAACTTCACATTTCACAAAACAGTGCACAACATGACCCAGAATAGAAATTAAAAAATTCTGGTAGAACAGATTTACCTTCATAAAAGTTCTATACTGTGCAATCCTACAGCAGTTTCATACTTCTTCAACAAGTACATTTAAACTTTTTTTTAAAAAAAAAAAATCTGCAATAAAGCTGAGACTTAAAATATAAATAAACAGATCTGACTAAGGATCAGTTAATAGAATTATTTGCTTTCCCCGATTGTCCTTTCCAGCAAATTGGCAAGGAAAATAACCAGGTTTTGGACACTTTGCTACAAACATTAAATCACTCAGCCATGAAACCCAGAATGGGCTGTGTGGATCCCAACAGTGCACTTTATCTCTGTCAGCGACATTGTTTTCCAATAAAAAAGCTCCCAGTGAAAGTTATTCTAATGTTATTCTTAAAATTCAGGAAAGGAAAGGAAACCGTTAGTACTATTTGGTAAGAACCAACAGCCTAATTTATATTGCACATGAAATTGATAATAATTGTTATTGTTCAACCATTCAGAACTTATAAAAATACAAATGCAAGATTTTTTTCCAGATTTAAAACAATAAATAAATAAACGTATGAACTTCTTCTTTAAACCTGAGTTCACACTTCTAAATCAGAGAATTCATTGTTCTCTCTCTGTGTGTATACTAATCATAATCAGAAAATACATAAGGAAAAGATCAAGTAGCATAGAAAAATAGGAACAAATTGCCATTCAAAGAACTGAAATGAAACATAATAGAATTTCCAGAACAGCTAAAATAAAACAGACAATTTCAACAGAAGAGCAGAATTGGCATTATTTAATTTCTTTCATTTACTTATTTTTAAAGTATGATAGAAATACAAATATTTCAAGATTCTCCTTTTTCTGCATTAGCCTATTTAATAAAGTTGTTCCATTTTTTGAGGTCCAATTTCTTTTCTCTCTGTTAACAGAAATATAATAGATGGAGAAAATGTCACTCAATATCAGGGTCTTTTTTACCTGTGTAACTCAAGTTTTGGAATATTGATGGGAAGAAGCAGATTAGAGCCTACTATTTTTTCTTCTTGTGATTCTTGAGAACTTGTTACTTTAAAATCATCATCAACATTTTTAAAGTATTTCTCTTGGTTGCTAGAATCACTAACAAATGGATTTTTAATTAGATATGCTTAATTTGATTCTTTAGAAAATAAAATGATTCTGCTATACATAAGTTTAACTAGTACCAGATGTGGAATAGAAATTAATTCCAACTGTTGTTGACATTTTTATACTCTTATTCCTTTCAAGCTAGCCATAAACAGAGAAGTGTTAGAAAAGCAGTTAGGTTGCTAGAGAAATAAAGTTAATCAAGGCAGAATCAAAAAACTTGTTAGAAATCTTAGCATTAATCTCAGTTGAGGAACTCTGAAGATTTGGACCGTATATACCCGTGGTGGCAAACCTATGGCACGCGTGCCAGAGGCGGCACTCAGAGCCCTTCTGTGGGCACGTGTGCCCAGTCCTAGGCCTTTAGCTGGGTTTTATAAAACCTTTTCATTTTAGGCCTCCACCGCCGTGTGCAAAAGAAAAAAAGGTTCAACCAATCAATCAATTTCAACTTCTTGCGGGAAAAAATAATCTTGCAAAGTTGGAATTGATTGATTGAACTTTTTAGTCCCACCCAGTCTGCCGTTACCACTGCAGCCACGCCCACCCAATAGGCCATGCCCACCCAATGGGCCACACCCACCCAGCACCCGACAATAGATAAGTAGGTTTTGGGTTGCAGTTTGGACACTCGGTCTCTAAAATGTGCACCATCACTGGTATATACCAAGTTTAATTGTTTAATTTTCCAGTTTCTCTTTTGTTTTAATAACAAAATATGTAACAGAGAGATATGATGAAGTCATGTGTTCAGAAATTGCACACAAATAGCTATTTGGGAATGATTTTTGAACTGAATGTCAATGTTTCAGCATTGGCTTAACGGTCAATTGGAAGTCGCTGGGAGCCTTAAGTAACTCAAACACTGTATACTGTTTGGCTCTGTAAAAGAAAAAAGAAAAGAAAATCATTTCTATGAATGTTCCTGAGAATTTGGATATAGAATCAAAATTCCTCTTGAACTCACTTGTTGGTCACTTCCCTTCGATGGCTTAATCCTAAGTAGAATCCTTTTTCTTCTGAATGTTTCTCTACGTAATTTTGGGGAGAGAAAGTATATATACTTACTTTCCATTCTTTATATTATAGAAACACGTCCCCAAACTGCAGAATTTAGGGATCATCCTTTCATCCATCTTATTGAGTCACCTGTCTTTCTTTCCCAGTGGCTTCTTGGCTTCTCCTCCTACACTGCTTCATCTACTGTCACCCTCCTGATTGTTAATGCTCATAACAGAAAAAAAATGCATTGGCTGCTATTTTTCAGGCTTTTCCTTATATCTATTTCAAGCTCCTGAAAATTAATAAAAGTTAAGTATGTGTCCTTTGTTATTAACTCCACCTACTGACTTCACCGACACATTAATTGGCCACAGTTTGAAATATGTTTTTGATTTCTAGTTTAGCCTTCAGTTGAGATAGTATTTCATAGCGGTCTCCTGCCAAATACTAACCAAGCCAGAGCCTGCTTAGCTTCTAAGCCCTGACAAGGTCAGCAATGCGCTGTCACCTGCTGAAGCTTTAATAGAAGGGGAACCACTAATTTAGGATGATCTAGGCCTGGGATGTGAAACAAACAAAGTATTTTATTTGGCTTCCTTTAGATGACAGGTTATTTGTCTAGCCAAAGCAAACCAAAGCAGGACTATTTATTTATTTGATTATACAGCTGCCTGTCTCATGTAAGTGACTCTGAGCAGCTTAGAATAAAATGTAGGCAGTCTTCAAGTTATGACCCTAATGGACCCTGCCCATTGAGGTGGCAAATTGTGATGGTCATTAAGCGAGATCAACTTACTTAATAACCCCCTGCCTTGCTTTTCCTGATGCAATCATTAAATGACAGTGTAGTTGTTAAATGGACAACAGGGTGCCTCAGGGTTAGTCCTGGGAGGCCTACAGCAGACCCAGGCCCATCTGCCTTAGGCCTTCCACAACTCTTGAGACAACTTGTGCTCTGCCTCCTGCCCCTCCAGGTCCCCAGAAGCCTTAATGCTTGTTTTTTTCCCCTTCCCACAGATATCTAAGGCCTTAGCCTACTACCCCCCACCCCCACCCCAGACACTCAGCCTCCCAAGGCAGAAGAAACCAGCCAGGGACTCGCAGGTTCCTTAGCCAGCTCCAGGATGTAGCAGCACCCAACTTACCTTTCTGGGTTTTTTTTGTTTTGTTTTTGTTTTTCAGGGAGGTGCCCAGCTGATGCCTAGTAAAGCCTAATTTTCCTACAGAGGCTTCCTTGTGGCACCACTTGTTATTCTGGAGCCTCCTTAAAAAGGGAACCCCTTACAGGTTGTCATGAAGCAACCTCTGTAAGACAGATGAGCCTCGCATCACATCACATTGCATTGTGTCACAATTACAAACCTGGGTAGCTTTAGGCTTCCTTGGGTGGCTGGATGGGAAGTAGGCCTTGGCCTGCAAACTGTATTAGTCCTGCACATGCCGGTAACTTCTGCTGCTTTACCTTTGGTGGCTGAATGGCTGGGTTGGGAGCAGGTCAAAGCCTGAAGAGATCTAGTGAGATAGATGGGGGAGAAATGTATGGGGTGAGAAAAGTGGGGGATCTTGATTTCATGTGGTCTTTGGCTTAATGTCAAAAAAACTAATGACTCAAAACTCCAGTCTCTGGAAAAAGCTCAGTATCTTTTCTTCATTGGTTTTGGATATGTAGAAAGAAAAATAAAAAGAAAGTCAGAAGAGAGATGGGAAAAGTATGTCAGGGAAAGAAGGAGGTTCAGAAAACCAGCTTTGCACAGCACTTGCTGCTCCCTCTCCACCAGTAGCTTATGAAGTAACCCCTGCCTCAATTATACCTTGGGAATGGAGCATTGAACAGAAAAAGATGTCTGGCAACCTCTCCTTTTTTTGGACACTCTTATACATTATTTTATAACTCACGGTAAGTTGCTATTCATGTAACATTGTACTATAAATTGCAATGTTCTTATTTTTACACACACACACACACTTACACAAACACACACACACACAGAGTATTAATGTAGATAGAAATAGCCACATTTTTCCTGTGTATAGATCAGACCTAGAATGAAAGCCAAAACAGAGCTGCTCTGAGAATTCCATAAAATTGATTTTCATGTTTTTCTTTAGACAGTCTGCTTCTTTTTATTCCATTCTATTGTGGTTGCCAACACTCCTGCTGAAATTAGTAATCAATTGCACAAAACCAAATGTTTAACATTTGGCAGCTTAAATTCTGCAGTTGTTTTTTGAAAGAGAGAATGGCAGGGACACTTCACTACGTCTTAGTGCAACAGAGAACACATTTTAGAACTATGGGTCAGGTGAATTCCATGCTACTAGGGCTCAATTATGTGATCAGAATAAATTATGTAAATCAAGCATTTTTTTGCTAAATATATTTAACATTCATAATTCAATGTTTAAAGTTAAGAAGGGTTTGATTAGAACCATGGACCAGAATTGAAAATAGAAATATCTGGAGCATGAGAAGGATATTAGTTGTGAAAACAGAGTAGCAATAAATTAAGAAAAAAGAATCCCGGAGAATAGAAAGCTGAGAAAATTAAGCAGACATGGTTTGTTTGTCTATGTGTGTGCACACACTTAAATTTTATATAGCTCTGAGCTCATTTAGTTACAATTCTATTTTGCAAAACACCTGAGAATAAACTAGAAAACATCAGGTTTATTTACTTACTTATTTATTTTGCAGAATTTTATTATTTTACCTATGTGGAGAGAGGAGCATGTCGATGTTATCATGTTCCATCTGAAACCTTCCTATGTTTTCTTCTGTCAGAGCAAGAAGGGGATGTGGATGCCAGACTTCCTTCATCATTATCTGCCCACTTCTACCCATTAGGATTTCTCTGCAGAAAAACTAGGAATTAAAATCTTATTTCCATGTAAAGTTGCAAATAAACTGATATCATCTGCCTATTTATTTCTCTGGCCCTAACTCCACTTTTAGTAGCCATGCTCTTGCATCCCCAGTCTCTGTGAGCTACACCAACCCCTTATTCCTGTAGTCACTTGTCCTCTGTCTCTTTTAGATCCCAATTCTCCAAGCCATCAAATAGAGGAAAGAAAAAAAGATATCTACTATTGTGTTTGGGAAGAATAAAAAGGGTATTTACAAAATTCAAATTTAAGAGTGTTCTAAATGTTATTCATGAAAATATTTATCTTTACCTTTTTTAAAAAAAAAAACTTTGATATAGTAACTCCACCTATCTTCATTGCAGTGCCTGTAAAATAATAGAGAATATTGAGATTTGCCAATCTCCATAGGTTTTGATCACTCTCCTTCCCCTGGAGAAAGAAATGTGGTGGCCAAGCTGCTGATGAGTTTCAATTATCATTCTTTGCAGGATCTAATTGCCTACACAATCATGCCAGAAGCTGTTTTCCTTCTCTCAGACTATTTTTGTTTCAGTGTTTTTCCATATTTTTCTTTATTTTATATGTCCCGTAATTATTGCTTGAGAGATGCCCAAGTAGACATGGAAGGAAGGGCGGACAAATCAGCCAAGAAAATCTTGCAGTTGGATTCTACCCACTCATACTTCAGGTCCTTCATTGATTGATCTTTCCTTCACTGGCTGACGATGTATTGAAACCATTAAGCAAAGGAGAAGACTAGCGTGGCCATGGCAAATCACTGATGCCAAAATAATAAGCAATCATGATGTAATTATACAAAGGCTAATATTACATATTTGCATCAGGATGTAATTGCACTCATTAGTACTGGAATGTCTAATAAAAGTACATGAGTTGTGACATTTTTATGATTACATAATTATGCAGGTGGTATCATTTGTCCCTGCATTGCTGATATAGAAAATCAATGTTCTTTTAATGACTGGCACCTCACAGTCAAGATGCCATTCAGCAAGGTTTTGGAACAGAGGAAGAAGTGTGAAAAGGACTGGCAACAGGAACAGAAAACTTGATGCTGACATTGTTTTGTGCCAGTCCAAAGTTGGGTGAAAAGTGCTTTGGCAATGTACATCCATAGACATGTGTATTTTTTTTAAAAAAAATACACTTTATTTTCATACTATTTGTGTGGGTCAAGAGCCTAGCTAAATACTGATAACTTTGACTTCATGCAATGAATTATAGTAATGCACTTACACAGAATTGTCACTGGCATGAATTTGTGTGGTCTAGGTCTGAAATAAATACTCATTTGTTCACACAAACCTATTCCCAGACTGACCGTGTTTACCTACTGCCTTGTCCTAATATATTACACGTGCCATATTTTTTGCTCTGTATTCATGATGTAAAAATCCATTTGGTGTAGAACAAACATACTTATGAAGCAATTTTTGCTTTTGGTTTCCTCCAAATTATGATCTATCAGTGATTGTTTCAGGCAAGATCAAAGATAATTTCATCAGTGAATGTAACTTCTTGTTCAGACTATGTTTTGGCAAAATCTGTCTTGAAGTCCTGATGGGCATTTTGCCTGAATAAAGACGGGAAACTCTAGGACATGATCCATGGGGCATAAAACCTTAAGTGAAGAAAACCTGCTTAGATGAAATAAGAAAGAAAAATCAATTATAACATCCAAAAACATAACTAAACAAATAATACTGAGATGAGGCAATCATACACTCTTGATTTAATATTATTGGCAATCTTGACAAGACTAGTGCTAACAGTAGTAGCAGAATGAGCACCAGAAATATCTCTGAGTATTTACTTACAGTGTTTATATGGCTGCCTACTTCAATAATGATTCTAGGCAGCTCACAACAATCTACTAAAACATAGCTAAAAACAGAGGTAACCTTTCTCCCAAGTGCCAAATAACACCCCAGTTCATCTTCCATCCTAGCCCAACACTTGGGGAAAGAGTGTTCATAGATCTCCAGAAGGCTAAAAGGGTCAGATCTCAAATGAGAGGCTATTCCAAAGGGTGGCAACACCCCCTTATCTAACCTAACAGGTTGGGCAGATACCCTTGGGAAGAGGCGATCCTGCAAGTAACCTGGCTCTGTGCCTTTAGGGCAGGGGTGTCAAACTGCTGGCCCATGGGCTGGATGCGTCATGCCAAAACCATGGCCATCCCATTGCCAGCAATGGGAAAAAAAGTTGTGATACAGTCACAACATGTCACATCACATCGCAAGTTTGACACCCATGATTATCACCTTGAATCAGCACCTTGAAATGCACAAAAAAGCAACTGGGAGCCAATGCAATTCATGCAGCAGTGATGTTATTTGGGTAAACCACAGGGCGCACAAAACTGTGGACTGCTGTATTCTGAACTAGATACAGCTTCTGGATGGTGTTCGAGAGCAGTCCCATGTACAGCACATTGCAGTAGTTAAAGTAGGAGGGGACCAAAGCCAGGAGTGACTGTGAACAAAACCATGTGGTCCAGAAATTGGTGCACAGGCTGGATTTATGTGAAGGCTCCCTTGGCCGTAGCTGCCACCTACTTTTTCATCAAAAACTGCAAGTCCAAGAGGACCCCCAAATGGCAGAAGTGATCTGTCCAAGGAAGTGTTACACTGGCCAGAATCATAGATTTAATTCTCCTGGGAAGGGGGAAGGGGGAATGGGTGGAAAACCCCACAAACACTGTCCTGCTACAGTTGAATTGCAGATGAGATTTTCCTTATCCATGCCCTTATTTGTGAAAGTGTAATTAATATTCCTCTAAGTAGGAGTTACTTGCACTAATATCTTGAATCTTTGTGGAAATTGAAGAATTAGGCTGAAAGTTGTTTAAGCCCAGTCTCTAAATTGCTAATAATATTGCATTAAACAACCTGGAGATAGAAGAGAAATGGGAATCATCTTTATAAATAGGTTCAACAATAGCAGAGTAATGTACCTGCTTTTAAATAACATAAATTACAGATTTTTCTTACTACTGTGATCTGGGAACAGCTTTTCTTCTTGTATAAAATGCTGTAGACAAAACTGGAGATCTATGACTGTTTGAGTATATTCAGTTTTCTGATATGTTAGATTTATTTTGTTGAGTTACCAAGGAAAATATGTGCTTTAGAGAATGGATATAGCTTTATACATGTTTCACATCTTTTCAGTCTTTGCCATTTTTTACATATTATCCCAAACATAACAAACTTCTATTGCTTACTTTTTGAACATAAATGTGGCTTATATGACATTGTTCAGATCCTATTTTTATTAGTGAATTTGCTGAAAAGAGTTATTATCATTTTAGAGTGTAATGAATTCCTTGGTTCCTGATTTTTTTTTAAAAAAAAAAAATTAAAATAATAATGCAATCCTTCAGA